TGCACACACAAAACTTGAACATTAATGGAGTCTACATGACAGATTACAATCTGTCAGAGTAGGACTGAAAATCTGTGTGTATATGTGTGTGTGTGTGTGTATGTGTATGTGTGTGTGTGTGTGTGTGTGTGTGTGTTTGTGTGTGTGTATGTGCGCGCGCTACTTTTTTCTTAGTGGAACATCTTCCTTAATGCTGAATCCAGTCGTCTGCCATCAGCTTAATGTTCTCTCTTTAGCCAGGCACTGTGCTCAGCTTAACCTTAGCTTAGGCTTGTCCCACTAGCTCTTGAAACTTAAATATCTATTTATTTTAATCTATGTTCTTGTTACCTCATCTCTCCATACTGCTCACGCTGCTTCCTCCACTCTGGCTTGTGACTCTGCCTTCTTCCCAGAGTTTTCTCTTTGTCCAGAAGCTATTGGCTGTTCAGCTTTTTATTATATCAATCACAGTACATTTTCACACAGTGTACAAATATCTAACAACAAGACACAATGTAAAGAGGCCAGCTGTCTTAGTTACTCTTTTATTGCTGTGATAGGACACCCTGACCAAGGCAACTCACAGAAGAAAAAGTTATTTGGGGCAAACAGTTTTATGGGGTTAGAGTCCAGGACCTTCATGGCAGGGAGCATGTTGGCAGGCAGGCAGGCAGGCAGGCAGGCAGGCAGGGTGTTGGAGCAGTAGCAGGGAGCTCAGCTTTTTTTTTTTTAAATAGTTTTTTTTTTTTATACACTATATTCTGATTACCATTTCCCCTCTGCCAACTCCACACCCACCCATATGCATACCCTTTCTCTTTCTCTCAGAATACAAACAGGCATCTAAAAAAAAAATAATAGGCTGGGTGGTGGCGGCACACACCTTTAATCCCAACACTCTGGAGGCAGAGGCAGGCAGATCTTTGTGAGTTCGAGGCCAGTCTGGTCTACAGGAGCTAGTGCAGGACAGGCACTAAAGCTACAGAGAAACCCTGTCTCGAAAAACCAAATAATAATAATGATGATGTTGATGATGTAACAAAATGAAAATAAGCAAACCAGAATAGGTTACTTAGGTTTCCTGCATGCAAAGCAAGCACTTTACCCACTGAGCGGCATCTCCAGCCTCAAGTGACTCCTGTAGGAGACTCTAGGCCGCAGTTAGTCATGGTGTTTGACCTAGAGTGGGCCAGTATTTGTTGACAAATGAAGATGGTGCGACTTGGCAGGTGGGCGTATGCTGTGTATCTTCCAGGTTCGCTACCACCTGATGGTGCACATCCAGATGCAGCTGTGTGAGCTCTCCCTGTGGGACTGGATAGCCGAGAGGAACAAGCGGAGCCAGGAGTATGTAGATGAAGCTGCCTGTAAGTACCGTCTGTAAATCTGTTTCTTTCTGTATTTTTCAAAACCAGCTGTGAGTTTGACAATTATCTGTGATAAGGTGTTTGTTTGTATTGATGATGGTTGACGTTAGTTGTCAGCTTGACAGGATTTAGAATCACCTGGATTTGTCCAGCCTCACCGACTGTGAATTTGAACTTGATTTTTCTCCCTTGAGTTGCTTCTCTCAAGGTACTTTATGATGGCAGCAGGAAAAGAAACAAGGACCATATTTAAATAGTAATATGGAGTTTAGGCCAATGATTTTGGATAGACTATTTTTGGTATTTTACGTGCTAAAATGCACGTATTTGTGCGGGTGCATGCACATTTGCGTGTTGTGGAGACCAGAGGTTGATTTTAGGTGTCTTCCTCAGTCATCCCCTACCTTATTTTTGGGACTGTGTCTTCACTAACCCTACAGCTCACTGATTTGTCTGGGTTGGCTGGCCAATGAGCTCCAAAGCTCTGCCTGTTTCAGAAAAGTAACCGACAGGTCCTTCCAAAACAGTAGTGTCCTTAGAGATGAGAGAAAACTGAATAGTTGTGTCCAGCGAGAGGAATTATGGTAATGACGGTTGGGATTACAGACATAAACCAGCCATGCCTGCCCTTGCTTTGAGCTCTTACTGTAGCCGTTGTGGTTGGGGGCTCATACCCTCCAGCCCAGGACTCTGGTTGAAATCAAAGGCTGTCCAGAGTTCCAGGCTACAGTATGAGACTCAACAATGACAGAAAAAGGGTTGGTGAGGAGGCTCAGTGGTAAGTGGGCTTCTCCTCTAAGCCTGACAATCTGAGGTGGATCCCTTGGAGAAAACTGACTCCACAAGTTGTCTCTGACCTTCACACCTGCTTTTGGCACATGGATGCATGTGGCACATGTATATAATTCATACACATAATTTAATATATATGTGTGTGTGTGTTTATATGTATGTGTGCACATAAGTAAGGATTTAAAAATTAAAAGCTCAACCCCTCCTCCTATTACCATGTTATTGAACTTGTTAGGGAAAGTTTAGACTGTATTCTTCATTATCCAGTCATTTTTAGCAGATCTGACAAGTGATGGATAGAAACTTCTGCCTTGAACAGAATTTATCTCCCTCACTTCCTTTTTGAGACAGGGTCTCACTGTGTAGCTTAGGTTGGTCCTCTTGTTACAACCTCCAGGTGTTACAGGATTATAAACCTGAGCTGCCGTGCCTCGGTAATTTGTGTTTTCTTACTCCAGTGTTTGTAATAATGTCTTAATCCAGTATGGACTAGGCCTTTGACACCAGCGTGTTAAGAGCCAAAGAAGACTGAAGCTGTAATTTGATCACTCAATGCCTGGTAATTGTTTAGAAAGTCGCTAACAGTTCCTGGCTGAGCTTAGTACCTTTTTGGAAACATGGTGTCAGCATTGACTTTCAGTCTGTGATGTTTCTTCTTTGCTAGCAAAGAATCCTTCTTCCTTAATTCTATGTTTTAGACCATTTTGGAGTGTTTGAATGTTGAAGTGTCTAAAATTAATTTGTTGAGAACATTTAACATTTAAATGTTAATGTCATTTAATGAGTTCAGAGAAATAGGGATGAGACCATTTTTTCTTAAATTCCAGGTCCCTATGTTATGGCCAGTGTTGCAACAAAAATTTTTCAAGAATTGGTGGAAGGTGTCTTTTACATACATAACATGGGCATTGTCCACAGAGATCTGAAGGTAAGCCAGACGACCACACCTGTGAACACAGCAATGGTGTCTCACAGGGGTGACTCGATGTGAGTTCATAGAGTACAATGAGGTGATGTACCCTCATCCTTCTGTTTAGGAGGGTTGTCATTTATTGTTTTGCTGTCTTGTAAATTGTTATTCCAGAGGCTCAGAACTCTTGACTGGAAGATGACTCAGTCAATAAAGTGTTTATTGGGTAAGCATGAGGACCTGCTTTTGTATCTCCAGGATCTGCATAGAAAGCTGCGTGCAGCAGCCTGTGCCCGTAACCTCAGTGCTGGGGAAGCAGAAACAGACACGAGGACTCCTGGGTTTCTCTGGCCAGCTAGTCCGGGGGATTAGTTAAGAAAGATGCCCAATGTTAACTTTTGCCTCTGAATGCATAAGCATACTCGTGTGTACACACACCCTTCCAAAACAGTCCCCCCATGCTTAAAAAGAAATCCTTAATTGAATTTGATTTGGTGTCATTTGAACCTTGACTTTGAAGTGTGAACACAGTAAGGCGTAGGGATACTGATTACTAATATAATTGGTGATGGTAAATACACTCAGTGTCGGTAGAAGTGCAGCCTTAGAAATTAAAGTCTGTTTCAGGAAATGGTTTGTTTTGGGTTTTGTTGTTGTTGCTGTTTGTTTTTTCAAGACAAGGTTTCTCTGTGGCTTGGAACTAGCTCTTGTAGACCAGGCTGGCCTCTAACTCACAGAGATCCACCTGCCTGTCTTCCGAGTGCTGGGATTAAAGGTGTGTGCCACTACTGCCCAGTTTTTTTTTTTTCCATATCAAAAAAAAAAAAGTTGCTGCTGCTGGTTGTGGTAGTGCACACACCTTGAAGCCTAGTGCTCGGGAGGCAGAGGCAGGTGGATCTCTGAGTTTCAGGCCGGTCTGGTATACAGAGCAAGTTCCTGGACAGTTGGAGCTACACAAAGAAAAACCCTTTCTCAAATAAAAACAAAAATAACAACAGCAGCAATTCTTTTAGCATACACCTTTTATTCCAGCGCAGGAGGCTTAGGCAAGTCTAGAGCTTTTCAGGGCTCTGTATTGAGTCATGTCTCAAGGACCCAAACTAAAATCAAATCCCCAGGTCCTTCAAACCAAACCACACTGAAAATACAACTCTAGCAGACAGGAGGATCAGTTAGCTTGAGGTTAGCCTGGACTACTACCTTGTTGGAGCGGGCAGGCCCACTTGTTTGTCCTGGCTGCCCGGCTAGCTTAGCCCCAAAATAACCACACAGAAACTGTATTAATTAAATCACTGCTTGGCCCGTTAGCTCTAGTTTCTTATTGACTAATTCTTACATCTTAATTTAACCTATTTCTATTAATCTGTGTATCGCCACATGACAGTAGCTTACTGGGAAATATTCAGCATGTCTGTCTCTGGTGGCTCCATGGCGGCTCTCTGACTCTGCCTTCTTCCTCCCAGCATTCCATTTAATTTTCCCCACCTACCTAAGTTCTGCCCTGTCAAGGGCCCAAAGCAGTTTCTTTATTAACCAGTGAAAGCAACACAATGACGAAAGGACCTCCTACACCACTACCTCATCTCATAAAACCAAAAATAAATCACCCCACAAAAAAAAGAGAAAGCCCCATAGGAACTGTTTTAGTTTTATTTCATAAAAGACTATCAAGAAAAGACAAAATATACTTTCTTTTATGGTTGATAAATCTTAAAGCAATTAGCCCACTTTTCAAGCCAAAATTAAATCATGGGAAAGGCATCTAAATGAAACTTTAGAAGACAATGAGAGTTAACGTGCTGGTCACTTTAATTTTTTGGAAAGGGATTAAGGACCAGTAGTTTGTACATTGCAATGTAAAGTTAAGTTGAAGTGTTTTCTGGTCCACATCCAGCCAGAAAACACAGTTTGAGTTGCTGAGGCTCTCTGGCACAGAGGCTGTGGAGTTCTCATTTCAACAGGTAGTCAAAGTCATAAAAGACATATACGGATTTCCATAGCTTCTCAGGGAGATGCTGCCTCAGGTAGAACTTGTACTTCTCACCATAAATATTTCTGATATTTCTCTTACAGATGGCCTCTAGGGATAAAGGTTTTTTCATTAGTTTTATTAGAGTTTTCCTTAAGAGGTGGAATTCTGGTTGCATGATTCCTGCAGGTAGAAGCCCTTGTTTATTTCTCAGTCTTAAAGGGTAAGAGTAATAAAGTAGCCTAGCCAGAAGCGATGCATCTCTGATATTGGAACTGCGCTGAAGGTACATATATATTGCAGACTCCCCATTTCTTGTTAAGATGTTCACGTCTGCTTCAAATTCCAGCAAGAGATTGATTATTACCTCTCTGCCTCCAAAACATGCCTTGTGCAGAGCTGTTTGGCCTTTGTGGTCTTGGGCATTGACCTGGGCTCCATGATTTAGCAGCAGACGGATGCAGCCCACCCCCGCTGCCAGCAGCTGGCCAGCTTTGCTTGACGCGGTGCGCACAGCTAGCTTCAGAGCTGTGTTTCCAGTATTTGAGGTGGCGCAGTTCACATTGGCCCCGCAGGCAATGAGTGTCTCTATCATGTTTTTGTCCAGTATTTCTGCAGCCATGTGGAGGGGCGTCATGCTGGCTCTGTTCATAGCATTGACCCGGGCACCATTTTGGACCAAAAGGGCAAGAACTGGATAGGTCCCATGCTTTATGGCCAGGTGGAGGGGTGAATGTTTGTCGTCCTTGTCTGCCTGGGCATTCACTTGAACTCCGTGTTCACACAAAATGCGTAGACATGTGACAGCTTTGTTTTGAATGTCTGCCAGGAGCTTTTGGATCAGAGTGTTTGTTTTAGACCACGTGGTCAAAGTGACTGGCCAGTTTAGCAGCAGCTGGTGAAGAGTGTTGAAGCCTTGAGCATCTCTGGAAGGGATTTATCACAGGTTAAGCCAGTTACATTCCACAAAGGGACTCTTCCCCATGAAGAATTAATGCTCAGGAAGGCAACATTGACCGCAAGTAACCCCTTCTAATTCATCCCCCCCTGTGAGGATGCTGTAGATATAAATTGATGTGTGTGTGTGTGTGTGTGTACATGCTCAAATACATATGAACTCATGTACATGTGGAGGTCAGAGGTCAATAATAAGTGTATTTCTTGATTGTTCTCCACTTTAATTTTTTTTTTTTTTTTGGTTTTTCGAGACAGGGTTTCTCTGTAGCTTTGGTGCCTGTCCTGGAACTAGCTCTTGTAGACCAGGCAGGCCTCGAACTCCCAGAGATCCATCTGCCTCCCGAGTGCTGGGATTAAAGACGTGCGCCACCACCACCCGGCTCCACTTTATTTTTTGAGACAGGGTCTCTTGACTGAATCTGGACCTCACTGACTCTGCTAGCCTGGCTAGCAAGTGAGCTCTAGCGATCCATGTGTTCCCTCCCCCACACTCCCACCAGGCACTTGTGCACTCGGCTTTTATATCAGTGCTGGGGAGTGAGCTCAGGTACTTTACTGACTCGGCTGTCTCCCTAAGCCCGTTAGTTACTTTAAAGAAGTGGTGGCAGTCTGTGTTGCTGGATGCCTGAAAGCTCTTTTTAGTCCCTGCTGAGTGGGTCTTAGGTTCTTAGAGAAGCCTATTTAAGCTTGGTTGCTCCATCTGGAACTGTGGTTCCTTTAAGGCTGTTCCTTGGTTGTTTCTCCTATATTCCCAGAATCATGCATGGCTCTGGGCTGGTTCCCTGGGTATTTAGTAAAAATGTGTGGACTTAGGTATGAGCTATGACTGTCCCAACAGTGAACGCTAACGGGCCAGAACTTCCATTCCCTCGGTTTCCTGCTTTTTGTCTGTCCTCTCCCTGACACATTCATTCACAAGTGGAGGAGAGTCAGTGGCACGACTTGAATCTGGACACCTGCATTTTTCTGAAGCCATTGAAGCCACACATCCTGCTTCAACCCAGGTGGAATGAGTGGGCCCTCATCTCAGGATTGCCTGCAAAATGTCTATGTTGTGGCAGTGAAAAGGGAAGGTTTATCCTGAGAACTAGACTGCTTCCCTGACATTAGGAGCTGCTGTTCAGTTTACCCAGACTTATTTGTGAGAAGGCCCAAGGCTGCGGTTTGGAGAAACAGCAGGGCATCTTGGCCTCCTGAGGGCATGCGTAGTCTGGCATGGAAAGCTGGCAGGCTAACTGAATGGTGCATGTGGGCAAGGTTCTGGATAGGTGCAGAACCTCATGAGGGGGTTCTAGGGCAGGAACATGCCTTTGAGGAGCCCCTGAAGAGACAGGATGAGATGATGGCTCAGGCCGAGACGGGCCAGCCATGGAGAAGCTTTGCCAAACTGGAGCTGGTGGTGCCAAAAGAGGGTGCAAACACAAGATCTACTGGGTGGATTTTCTGAGCAGGATGAGGACTGTACCCTGAGTTGTATTATTTTTATATCATATATATAATTGTTTGATTTATCCAAATGTATCCATTGGGCCATAGTGTTCAAGAATCAGAGATAAGAGGTGAGCAAGGTGGCCTCTCTTGGCTGAAGCGAAGGTCACTAGAGGGTCATGCACAGGCAGCCCATCACCTGTTGTTTATTTTCCCTTTCTTTTCCTCTTGTCCAGTGTCCTGAGTGCTGTAGTCCAGATTACAGCTGAGCCCCCACTTCCTATGTGTTCATTTACCTGACTGGTTAGTATGCCTGTGCTTCGTCCCAGCTGTTCAGTCTCTCACCCTGTCAGTAAAGTACAATCCATGCTAACATAGTCTGTACCCAGCGTGGGACACATATCTGAATCACACAGTGCACACCCTCACTTAGGCACGTTAAGTTAACTTACCTTACTTCTGGGTTAGCCCCATGTTGTAACAAGCAAAGCAAACTTTGTGGCTTGTGGTATTGGGCGGCCAGATGGATAGGGAAGATATCATGAGCGTGCTGTTGGGAAACCACAACAAACATGGCTTACATACACAGTGCCACTCAGCACGGCTAAGTACTAAGCATTTGATTGGCATTTCTTCAGTTTGTGCATGGTGATTTTTGCTTTTCTTTTCTTTTTTGGGGGGGTGGGGGTAGTCTCTCTATGTAGACCAACCTAGCCTGGATTTCACAGAGAAAGCCACCTGTCTCTGCCTCTCAAGTGCTGAGAGTAAAGCCACCATTCCTGGCTAAAGAATTCCCTTTTCTGTTGCCCTTTTTTGTTTCTTTTTAAAAATATAGTTTTTAATTTATTTATTTGTATTGTATGTACATTGGTGTTTTCCCTACATGTGTGTTTGTGTGAGAGTGTCAGATTCCCTGGAACTGGAGTTACAGACTGTTGTGCTGCCATATGGGTGCTGGGAATTGAACCCGGGTCCTCTGAAAGAGCATCCAGTTCTCTGAACCACTGAGCCATCTCTCCATCCCCCTGTTGCTTGTTTTAAATGACCCATAGCTGGTGAATTTTAAATTACAGAATTTGTGTTTTAGAGCTAGGCATGTTGGTACACACCTGTAAATAGCACCTAGAAGGTGGAGGTGGGTCAAGAATGCAAGGCCATCTTTGTACATAAACTCTGTATCCTGCCCCCCCCCCCAGTGAATTCTCAGGGCAGTTGAAATAAAGCTTTGAAAATTAATTCTTATAAAGAATTCTTGGTTTAAAGCAAATTGCTTTGAAGTAATTTTGTCCTTAAATTAACCCACAGGTTGATTAACAAGAACATGTTATATTTTATGCTTCTTGCCAAAGCCTTTATCAGCTGTGAAACTTGCATTTCCAAGGTTTTCAGATAAGGCAGTGCATATTCTTACTGTGATTAGCTCAGCTGCTTATACTAGGTCTTAAAATACATATGGAAGCTTTATGCCTGGACTGCAAGATGAGAGAGAGACCACAAGTGAAAAAGGAGGGGCTGGCTTATTTTGGGGCCTGGGGAGAAAAAAGGAACACTAATTACAAAAGCAGTAATCAAGCAGCAACCTTGGCGCTTTATCCCTGCAATTCCAGCACGTGGGAGGCAGAGATCAAAGGACTGTTATGTGCTTTAGGCCAGCTTGGGGAAGTTGGTGAGTTCTAGGCCAGCCTGGACTATAGAGTAAAACCCTGCCTCAAACAAGACAAAACATGTAGGAAAGTGTGTTTGCATCAGAAGTGAAAACCCAGTCTACGTGACGTAATCACTGTGGGCATATTTGGAGAGGATGGTGTGTTTTTCCTGTCCATTTGTGTGGGGAGAGTGGAAGGGCCAGTTGCAGACTGGGGTGTATTGGACCTGGGTGCTGACCTATGTGTTGTGAAGCTATGGAGGGGCTCAGGGAGTCCCCAGGGCACTGGGGGTAGTTCTTCCCAAAACTTCTGACTGGTTTTGGCGGGTTTTTTGTTCGTTTACTTTGTTTTGTTTTGTTCTTGAGACATGACCTCACGCTATAGCTCAGGCAAACCTAGGATTTACTATGTATCCCGCTCTAGCCTTGAACTTGAGGCCGTCCTCTTGCCTCAGCCGCCAAAGTGCTGGGATTAGAAGGGTTACTTCCACTTCCAGCTCTGTTGTTTTAAAATGCCTGAGAGGGAGTACCTGGTTCAGAAGTAGTCTGCAGCTGGTGGGGTTGACCAGGATGTTCAAGGGCTGGTTGACAGGGTGGGTCCTGAGAAGTTTCTTGATTGTGTTACAGTCTTCCTTGATTATAGCCCCATAGAGTCTAGAGTGCAGTGTGGTGACCGAGGTGTCATCCTGCGGTGTGGCAGCGTCAGCCACGAGCTCTTTGCTTCCCCTCTTGGTTATGTTCCCCATGAGGGTGTCTCTAGAATAGGGGTTTACAAGGTGAGCGGATACTGCTATGGAATTGGTCACTTTCTGACTCTTATGACGATGACCCCCTCAGCTGAGTTCTAGAACTCTGTTAGAATTGTGTATGTCAACAGAATCCCTTTCTATCCTGGAGCCAGCCCTCATGAGACTTGGTTCCTGGTGCTAAGAGCAAGCACAGTTTCTCCGCTTTTCTACTCAGTTATTAGCAAACAAAACAGAAACCTCCAAACTGGCATCTTATAGCTAAAATCATTTCCCCTTTTTTGCATCAGCTGCAACTAAATCTAACAGGGCCAGTGAGCTGGCTAGGGGTTAGATGTCTAGCACCAAGCATGACAACCTGAGCTGTATCCTGGGGATCCGCATGGTAAGAGTGCTGCAACTTGTCCTCTGACCCCCATCCTCATGCCTTGGTGTGCATGCACACACAGAGATTTTTTTTACTTGATATTTATTGAGCTCTACATTTTTTTTTTGCTCCCCTCTCTGCCTGTCCCCTCCCCCCCACAACCTTCCCCCAAGGTCCCCATGCTCCCATTTTACTCAGGAGATCCTGTCTTTTTCTACTTTCTACTTCCCATGTAGATTAGATCTGTGTAAGTCTCTCTTAGTGTCCTCATTGTTGTCTAAATTCTCTGGGATTATGGTTTGTAGGCTGTCTTTCTTTGCTTTATGTTTTAAAGCCACCTATGAGTGAGTACATGTGATAATAGTCCTTCTGTGTCTGGGTTACCTCACTCAAAATAATGTTTTCTAGCGCCATCCATTTTCCTGCAAAATTCAAGATGTCATTATTTTTTTCTTCTGTGTAGTACTCCATTGTGTAAATTTTCCTTATCCATTCTTTGGCCGAGTGTAGAAGGAGCTGCCGGCAGGCCTGCTTTTCATCCCACTCAGCTCCCAGCCGCCGGCTAGCTTTACCAAAAATAATTACACGGAAACTGTATTCATTTAAACACTGCCTGGCCCGTTAGTTCTAGCCTCTTCTTGGCTAACTCTCATATCTTGCCTAACCCATTTCTAATTATCTGTGTAGTACCATAAGGTGGTGTCTTACCAGGAAAGATTCAGTATGTCTGACCTGGCTCCATCGCGTCTGTCCAGAGAGGAGAGGCATGGCGTCTGGCTCACTTCCCTTCTGCCCAGCATTCTGTTCTGTCCACTCCACCTACCTAATTTTCTGACCTATCAGGACAAGCAGTTTTCTTTATTGATTAACCAATGAAACAACAGATTGACAAGTGACTGTCCCACATCAGCCGAGGGGCATTTAGGTTGTTTCCAGGTCCTGGCTATGACAAACAAAGCTGCTATGAACATAGTTGAGCACATGTCCGTGTGGCACGATTGAGCATCCTTTGGATATATACCCAAATGTGGTATTACTGGGTCTTGAGGAAGGTTGTTTCCTAATTTTCTGAGAAATCGCCACACTGACATCCAAAGGGGTTGTACCAGCTTGCATTCCCACCAGCAATGCAGAAGTGTTCCCTTTCCCCACATCCTCTCCAGCATGAGTTGTCATCAGTGTTTTTGATCTTGGCCATTCTTACAGATGTAAGATGGAATCTCAGAGTTGTTTTGATTATTTCTCTGATGACTAAGGATGTTGAACATTTCCTTTAGATACCTCTGCTGAGAGTTCTCTGTTTAGGTCTGTACTCCATTTTTTTTTATTGGATTATGTGTTCTTTTAGTGTCCAATTTCTTGAGTTTTTTTTATATATATATATATTTTGGAGATCAGACCTCTGTCTGATGTGGGGTTAGTGAAGATCTTTTTCCATTCTGTAGGCTCTTGTTTTGTCTTGTTGACCGTGTCCTTTGCTTTACAAAAGCTTTTCAGTTTCAGGAAGTCCCATTTATTAATTGTTTCTCTCAGTGCTTGATACACAGTTTTTTAAAGAAGCAGAACTCTTAGCAGGACCAAAACACAGTGGGTCATTTATTAACAAAAGTAAATTATACTTAGTGGAAGATTGCAACTTTTAATCTGTTTTCATTTTAGTAAACTTTTTTTCTCCCCGTTAGATGGTAATGCTGCTGCTGTTGTTATTTGAAGCAGGTAGCTCTGGCTTGCTTCAAACTGGCTAGGTAACTGAGGATGACCTTGAACTTGCGATCTTGCCTCCACCTCTAGTGCTGGGTTGCAGACGCATGTTACTTTATGCATTGCTGGAGTTAGAACACAGTGCTTTGTTATTCAGGCAAGCACTCTGCCAGCTGAACTACATCCCTGCCTCTTCTAAGTTTTATTTTTTTAAATTAAAACTGGTTCCTGAGTGGCCAGCTTTTTCAGTTTGGGGTGTGTGTGTGTGTATGTATGTGGTGTGCTCAGCGTGTATGTACCAAAGAGGATTTTGGGTGTCCTGCTTCATCACTCTCTACTTTATTCCCTTGGTACAGTGTCTCTCGCTAAACCTGGAGCTAAGTGACTGACAGCCGACAAGCGCCAGTGCTCCTCTTGTGTAATGCTGGGGTTAGGCACTCCTGCAGTCACACTCAACTTTTTACTTTAGTGCTGGGGACTTGAACTCAGCTCCTCTTGCCTGCACAGCCAACACTCTACTCAATGAGCCACCTACTTAGCCTTTTTTGAGAGAGAGTTTTGTCATATGGTCCTTGATGACTTACAATGTAAACCCGATTGGCATTATATTCACATTTGGTCCTCCTGCCTCTGCCTCCCAAGTTCTTACATTCCAGGTATGAACCTGCATGCCTGACAGCTCTTAACACAAGGTCCATGTTTGTTTTAAGAACACTGAGTTGACTTTTCCTGTTTATTATAGCCTAGAAATATTTTCCTTCACGGTCCTGATCAGCAAGTAAAAATAGGAGACTTTGGTCTGGCCTGTGCAGACATCATACACAAGAGCTCAGATTGGACCGACCGAAATGGAAAGGGTAAGGATTTATTTGTTTACTTATGTTGTTTCTTTTTGCACTTAAAAATATATAGAGAGAGACATAGTTGAACATGGCCTTACATACAACAAATCAGAACTGTCATAGCAAAGCTCAGCTGAGGCCAAGAGGCAGCCGTTCTCCCAGGAGCCGCAGTGCTCTGGTCACAACCATGGCTTAATGACCTTTTCCATCGCAGGAACAGCAGCACACACGTCCAGAGTGGGGACCTGTCTGTACGCGTCACCTGAACAGTTGGAGGGGTCTGAATATGATGCCAAGGTAGTGTTTGTTTCCCCCCTTTCCTCAGCTTGTCAAGTAGAGCAGTGAGTGCAGTTCTGTGGGAGAGTGCTCCAGGCGGGGATCTGTCACGTCAGACACACACAACTAAATAATGAAATCAATAAAAGAGATTCCCTATTCAGCTAACTGCATGCATGTTGCCTTTAGGCTACTTGACTATTTCAAAATCCATGGATGTCACTAAATGTTGAAGTCAGCCTTCCATTTAAAATGTCACCATTCGCCTCCGGAGGCTAGACTTCATGGAGGTCCCTTCAGCCTTTCGTTCCTCGGCTTTCCAGCTTAGGTAAACAAATGGTATTGGGCAGTGTGCCACCTGACTATCCTTGAAAGGGAATAGACACTGTAAACTTTTAACTCTTTGTTCCTTGAAAAGTGTTAAATGCCTTTTCAGTTTTATTTTAATTTTTAAAACATTCTATACTTTCCTCTGGTACTTTACTGGTTTTAGTTTTCATGGTGTTGAGGACTGAAACCAGGGCCTTACATTCCTAGCCACGTGAGCTATATTCCAAGGTCCTTTTTAATTTTTTTTTTTTCGAGGGTTTTTCTGTGTAGCCCTAGCTGTCCTGGAACTAGCTCTGTAGAACATGCTGGAACTCAGAGATCCACCTGCCTCTGCTTCCCTAGTGCTGGCATTAAAGGAGTATGCCACCTCCTCCGGCTCCTTTTTACTTTTTTAAGAAGGGGTCTGTATGGCCCAGGCTGACTTCCACCTCATGATCTTCCCACCGCAGCCTCCTAAATTATGCTGGCATTATTACAGGTGTGGGCTGCCATTTCTGGTTCTTACAACAAACCCGTTGTCAGTGTAGCCGCCTAGTCAATGATCCTTTTAATACATCAGTGACTGGAAGAGTTTCCGGAAAAATCCATTGCTATCCTTAAGATCCTGACTTCCTAATGAACTGCTTTAGGCAAAACAGAAGAGGTTTTTATGTGGTTTATAAATATTGACAAGAGTGCTTAGACTGGAGAGCTGACTCAGTGGCTAAGAGTTTTTGCTGCTCTTTCAGAAACAAAGTTTGGTTCCCAGCACCCACATCAGGCTGCACAGTTGTGTGGATTCCACTTCCAAGGAATCTCACGCCCTCTTCTGGTCTTTGTGGTACCCTCACATATGTGGCACTCACTCACATTAAAAAAAAAGGGGGGGGGGTGTTCTTGAAAAGGAAAAGTACTCAATTATGAATAGAGGCAGAGGCTAGCCTTACTAGGACCTGGTGACAATCTCCTGTTGCTAATAGTAGGAGTTGTGAGTTTAGTCATTTTGCCCGGGTCACTCTATCAGGTCTGGATTATGGTGGGCTGGTGGGAAGATGTCCCTACTTTAGAGTAATGACTGCTGTGTCTGTTGGGAGATATCCCTGCGCTTTAGCTAGCTATTGTCCTCCAGGTTAATGGATGCCCTCTCTGGGTATAAACAGATGGACTTAGAAAAGTCCCAGATGTGTCGTACCTGAGGCAGATATCTGCTGTTGAGGCAGACTTCCTGCTGTGTTTTTCTTTGCTCATCCTGTAAAGCCTCACTCTTGGGCATCCTTACTTGGGAGGTTCTGCTGTCAGAAGTGCTCCCCTAACTTTGTAACAAACCTTTGCATGCCCATTTCCTCCTCTGCAGTCGGATATGTATAGCTTGGGTGTGATCCTGCTCGAGCTCTTTCAGCCTTTCGGGACAGAAATGGAGCGAGCAGCAGTCTTGACAGGCTTAAGGACTGGTCGGATACCTGAATCCCTTAGTAAAAGGTGTCCAGTGCAAGCCAAGTATATCCAGCTCCTAACCGGAAAGAATGCATCGCAGAGGCCGTCTGCTCTTCAGCTGCTGCAGAGTGAGCTTTTCCAGACAGCTGGCAATGTACGTAACTTTTTCTTTTTTAGTATTACTAATTTAATATTACTTTTTAAATATTACTAATATTATTTTTATAATGTTACTGAACATTCACTTTGGGTTGGGTATGGTCCCAAGAGCTTGCTTATATACTTATTTATCGATAGGGTCTCACACTGTAGCCCAGTCTGACCTTGAACTCACAGCAGTCCTGTCGCAGGCTCTGGAGTGCTAGTATTGCAGGTGTGAGTTATCAACTTCAAGAGCTTTAGATAAGCTTGTCTTTCAGGGGGCTCACAGCTGAGGCTGA